TGAGAGAGACTTTCAATTAAATTAGAAACATTGATCAACATGAATGATTTCAAATTGTCAATTTAATTGTTACACTGAAAATGGAATAACAAGGGGGATTCTACATCTTAATAACATCTCTTGCAAATTTCATAAATTTTTTTACATTACTTTTAGGTTAGTCGATAGATTTAATAGTTTTTAATTACAACTTGATTTTGCTATTCGATTAAGGGTCGTTTTAGCTTCAACTCGATCAAACATATAGTTCTCATGGGTTTAATACTCTACATACCACTTTATTACTTGTTCACGATCTCATTCCTTTGCGGGTAATCAAACGATCAATGCTGATAAGATTAAAACTTCATTTTACTTCCTTCTCTCTCTCTCTCTCTCTCTCTCTCTCTCTCTCTCTTCCACATTATCAATTTTTATATCAATTTGTACGTAATTATGTACACAATAAAGCTGGCCATGTACAACCAGTAAAGACCTTATGTATAAGTAATATCATTCCTTTAAAATCTTTAAAATAACATACATCTAATGGCCTATTTGAGCCCCATTTTCTTGTGAGAATGCATTTTGGAATAATAAATTGATATAGAATGTGTTGTTATGTAATAAGAAAAAGTTTTAGGTTTGCTTGTAATATTATTTTATTGAAAAATGTGCAGTTGAAAAGAAGAGTTAAAAAAAAATTGTATTTTGAAAATAATTAAGATCAAACGAGGCTTCATTGCTTTTGTAACGACCTTTGCTGAATTTAAAATATCAGTTATAAATGTGGGACAATTGAAATTTTAAAAATAAAATCTAGTAAAATTGATTTTTGAAATGGATTCCTCCTCTAGAAGGCCAGCCCAGTATAAACAGCGACCTTAGGTCAATTACAATCAGATGGCTTTGAATTTTAAAACTTTCCCTATCAATGCCACCCTTTTCGAACTGCACTTCTCCAATACCTCAAAAATTTTGGTGCAAGTGTTTTTCATCCTTTCCCACCAACTCTATGATGGATAGTGACAAACTTCTTTATTTTAAATTTTTATCCCTATCAAAATATTAATTATTGATTTGAATATTTTCTCGATGGATTGGTGGACAATTTTATATTTGATTTTTTTTCTTTGCTCTTTCCTTTCTTTCTCCAATTTTTTTTTATTGATTTTTTTCTAGTCACCAAATTTCCGTCTTCCTTTTCTCACACAAGTTATCTTCGATCAATCTTAGTTACTTACAAAAATATATGTTTATTTGTTGATGGAAAGATATGTTTGTTTATGGACACCTTTTAGGTAGAAATATGCCGTGCAACAACTCCACTAACATCAGTTTAACCAAAATCTAAAATTAGGTTACACCTCACTACTTAAAGGTTGAACCCCAATCTTGAGGGCCCCCACCGCTCTATTCTAGAGTTTTGTGAGGGAGGTAAATCGTGAGATGTGCCCCAACAAGTCAGGGAACAAGAGCTATCTGTACACTGCGCTTATAAGGAGTTCAATTTCATGTTTCAGGAATCGAATCCCCACACTGCGACTGTCAACAAGGCGTGAAATAACCTTACTCCTTTCCTTTGAACCATTAGACTCTGCCTCGGGGGCTATTACACCTCATTACTTACTATCCTACATGGTGACATACATAAATTTTATTTTCTTTTTGCTTCCTATTGATAAATTAATTCAACAATAAATTAAGCAAGAACAATATTACTCGTTCTTTTATGAAAGAGGGAGTAGTAAAATTTAAATCTTGTCGTTTCACTAAAATGTCAAATTAATGCATCAAATCCAATATTTTAAAGATCAACAGTTGATTTTTAGTTTATCTTTGGTTCAATTTTAGTTTAATTTTTTGATAATCGACTTCAATTAAACTACTTTGTCAGAATTTTTTTTAATATAATGGTTGACATTTTCTCACAGCGTGTGGGCCCCTCGTGAATAAAAATGTCCAAAAAAGAAGTGGGCCCCGCCAATGTGGGTGTCGGGTATCCATTATGTTAAAAAAATTGTGTCACCATAACATTGTTGAATCGGCTTTTTACTTTTGCGATTTTGACAAAATCCACTCTACCTAAATTTGGACAAGTCCGTGATTTCCTAGTATGTATGATATCAGAAAATGTTTTGAGACTAAAATAAGTATTTGTATTTGTAATAAATATATATTCATAATTTATTACTATTTTTTGTCTATGAGTTGACGGAGAATTGGTCACAAAATGCGGAACTTTAATTTGGATTTTTACGAGTTTTCCACGAGAGTATTGGTATGAAGACGTATTTGAACATATGTCCAATGGACCTAAAGAATTTTTTTTTTCCTTTTCATTAATTTAATGAAGTATATTTACGTAAAAATGGTCAAAGTAATCTCGTCGTAATCATCAGAGGTAACAACTTTATGAGTTTTTCTTTCATTCACAAAACTTTCTTTTATAAATCAATTCTAGCATCTAATTTCACTTTATCTTTTGAGTCATCTGCTTTTGACGTCTTTATCTGTAGACGTGCGTTTAACTCTTAAGTAAATAAATCGATTAAGTTTTTACATCGGCTTTTAAATGAAATAGCCCAAAGATTCTAACATCTTTTTATGTTACTTTGTTACCTTAGTTTATTATATAGACTTCAAACATATTTAGTTGTGTTGAAAAGTATCGTAAGATGCATTTCACTTTAATATCCTCACTAAAGTCACCTTGTAGTGAAGAGTAGATCGAGTGGACTCCTTTGAGCCGTTCCTCTTAAAGGACGAAAAACCAAATAACATGGAGCAAACTAAAAAACGATTGAGTTAATCTCTTAAGAGGCTTGAAGAAATTTATGACTAAGAAAATCCGTTTAGATATTGTTGTTTAAAAATCAATTAAAGTGCGTGATGCGATGAATGAATGAAAAGTAAAATCGAGAGCCAAAATGATGGCCTACGCGGATGGGGCTACGGTGGCATGGTAACATACACTAAATGCCCTATATGTCTTTTGTTCTATGCGGTCGAATAGAACATTCTTCTAACCGTTAATGATAGTTTTTATTTGAATTTTGGTGACTCTTTGGAGGATGTCTTGCATTTTTTCGTGAAGTTTTAGCACCAACTTGTGGAGTATTGATTGAGGCTTATAAATAATCAATCATCAAAGCAAAAGTGGTTAGAATAATTTGAGAAAACTATATGCCTACAAAAGATCATTCCACAAAAAATATAAAAATATCCATTTATATCATATTCAAAATTCTAATTTGTGTTCTTAAGTTTTGGAGAATTTCACTAAGTGTTCAAGTGCTAAATTCTTTACAAAGTTTAATAAATCCTGAAAACCATTTGTCAAAATCCCTTTAAGCATCAAATTCTATACGAGATGGAGCAAATATAACGATTACGTGTTTGAGCATTCTCCTTCAATTTCTTATTATTGTTATTTGTTTTTTCTCCATCCCCTTGTGTGTAAACCATATTTCAAACAAATATAAGAATAACCTCTATCCTATTACACGAGGGAAAATACTAACTACTAATATCCGCCAATATCCCAATATCAAAAAGTTCTCCATCAAAGCAAACGTCACAAGCACAAGCCTTCTATTATCTCATAAATAACAATACCACATTTTATAAAACTCATAACTTTTATCAAATTTTCAATCATACATTTCATCAATTTTTATTAAAAATTTATTAAATGTTTATTTTTATCCAAACTTAATAGAGCTAATGATCATAGTATATATGACATGAAATACAATTGTAAATCGACTTTGTTTATGAACTTTCAACTCAATTTTATATTCACGTTTCGAGGGATCCATAAATAATATTAACTTTTTTTTTTTACCGTGAATTTGGAGTTGCTATTTCTTGTCTTTTAAAAAAAATATAATCGACAAAAGTGATGCCCACAATTTCCTCAACATGTATTATGGATGATTAATGCTTGGCATATAGAAAAATATTTTACAGAAGAAATACAGATTTCTCACAATAGCGTGGGCCTCGTATGATTAAATAATGTCAAAAAATTACTCACCCACTCGGGCCACCCCTAAATGTGAGGTGTCGATAGGGGTTCTGTGAACCTCTACAGAACCTCTTCTTGTACACCAATCAGTCACAGAACTCCTTCTTGTACACCAATTATGGATGGACCATACAATGAACCGCTAATTGAGCTGATCCATTTCCCCACCTCGAAATGCCAAAAAGAAAAGAAAAAAGTATTATATCCATACTGACACATTATCGAGGCATGGAAATAAAAGTAACAATTCCCATGTTCTGACATTCACGTCGTCGGCCAAAATTCACTATTTGTAAAGATTATTACGAATATTCATAATATCTAGACATTTTAAAGGATATAGAAGACTTTGTCATTCGCAAATTGAATTTGTAATATCATGCTCGATATTTATATGATTGTCAAAAATTGATTGGATGAAAAAAATAGCTTTGTTTGTTAAATTATCAAATTACAGATTGTCATGTGGATGAATATAAACAAAGATATACACCAAACATGATTTGAATAAAAATCAAGTGTATGCAAGTAGAATTTCGAGTTTGTCCCCCTAAAAAACAAAGTACATGTTTGGAACATATTTATAGACATTCGATCACTTTTTATTCTTAAGGACACATAAAATTACTATTCATTTTTCAATCACTTATTTCTATAAATTATTTTATGCTGTTTATGAAATCGTATTCCGTGCCATAAAGATATATTTATTTTCATTTTCACACAAATTTAAAAAATATAATTAGAAATATAGTTTTTTCTTACATTTTTAATACATTCGGTACATTAAATAATTGACCATAAATAGCATTACATGCTTTGAACAATCCAAAACTGACATTTAATTTAATTGAAGGCTGCTGAAGAAAAATGTAGAAATTATTAAATGACAACAAACATGGAAACTAACGGAATATTCAAATAAATTGTAACAAATAATTGAAATGGTCTTAATTTCCAAATTCGGAAACCATTTTTCTGGTAAAATCAACAGTTTTCTCTGGTATTTGGTCGTGGCGTGTACCCTTGCAGCCTCATCACCTCCTTTTGACGGGTCAAATTACAACCCCTTTAATAAAAGCCCTAAGCTGAATGCGTACCTTAGATCCAAAACTCATCTTTCATCGGCCACCATTTTCTGTGTTTCATACGGAGGCGCGTGTGTATTAATCGTTTTCTGAATAGACATGGGCCAAGCACCCTCCACTGGCCAGGGTTATTCTCCCGGCAATTCAATGCATCTGCGTAATCCAAGCCTTTCCCTTCACCACCATCGCTACACCGTCAATGACTTGAATCTAATAAATTCTCAGCTTCCGGAGGATATTTTTGTAAATCAACAAGAAGATTATATTTCTGAGATACCTGATGAATGCTTAGCTTTAATCTTTCAATCTTTAAGCTCCCGCGACAGGAAGCAGTGTTCTTTGGTCTCTCGTCGATGGTTCGTCGTGGAGGGTCAGAGCCGCCACCGCCTGGCTCTTAACGCCACCACGGAGGTCAACGTGCACCTCCCTTCTATCTTCACGCGGTTCGATTCTATCACAAAGCTAGCGCTCCGCTGTGACCGCAAATCCGTTAGTATAAATGACGAAGGTTTGACGTTGATCTCTATGCGGTGCCAGAATCTCATCCGCCTCAAGCTCCGTGGCTGTCGCGAAATCTCAGATCAAGGGATGTATGCTTTGGGTCAGAATTGCAAATCTCTCCGCAAATTCTCCTGTGGATCATGTATGTTTGGTGTTAAAGGCATGAATGCTCTTTTAAACAATTGTTCATCCTTGGAGGAACTTTCCGTTAAGCGTTTACGGGGCATCAAGGATGGCTTTATAGATGAGCCGATTGGCCCTGGGGCCGCGGCATCCTCGCTCAAGTCAATTACCCTTAAGGAGCTTTTTAGCGGACAGTGTTTTGGGCCCTTGATTATTGGCTCAAAAAACTTGAAGACTTTGAAGATTCTCAAGTGTTTGGGGGACTGGGATAGTTTGTTGGAGACTATTGCAGGGAGAAAAAATTATTTAACAGAGATTCATTTGGAAAGGCTGCAGGTGAGTGATATTGGGCTAATGGCAATATCAAAGTGCCCGGACTTGGAGATCTTTCACTTGGTGAAAGCTCCAGATTGCTCAAATGAGGGGATTTGTGCAGTTGCTGAGAATTGCAAGCTTTTGAGGAAGCTCCATATTGATGGTTGGAGGACGAATAGGATAAGTGACGAGGGGTTGATTGCTATAGCGAAGAACAGTGTGAATCTCGTGGAATTGGTTCTTATTGGGGTAAACCCGAGTTCTGTGAGTTTGATGGCAATAGCCACAAATTGTCAGAAATTGGAGAGGTTGGCACTTTGTGGGAGTGAAACAATTGGGGATCCTGAGATCTCATGTATCGCGGCAAAATGTATGGCGTTAAAGAAGCTTTGTATAAAGGGATGTCGTGTGACGGATTCAGGAATTGAGGCATTCGCTTATGGATGTCCCAATTTGGTGAAGATAAAGGTAAAGAAGTGCAGGGGAGTAACTAGTGAAGTTGCGGATTTGTTGAGGGCAAGCAGGATGTCATTGGCTGTGAATTTGGACGCAGATGAGATTGAACAAGAGGCCATGGACGTGAGTGCCAGCGATGAAGGAGCACAGGATGATGGAGTGGAATTCCCACCAATTGTGAGTGGAACTACGATTGGTGGTGGTGGAAGTGTTTCTGCAGCTGATGCTGCTGCTGCTGCTCCATCAACTAGTAATGGAACTCGATCCTCAAATAAGTCAAGATTTAGCCTTTTTGCTGGAAGGACTTTTGTAGCATGTGCTTTTCGGAGGTTATCAAATGGTAACGGTAATTCAAAAGATAGCTTATAGATGAACTCAATGAGAGTTAGAAAGGATAAATCGTTGTCAAGTTTTCATTCTTGTTTGTATTGAACCATAGTATTGTTGCAATTTATGTTTCTGCTTCCATTGTTGTATCTTGGGCTTCTTTGCTGTGGTGTCATTTGTTACCTGCGACAGTGCCACTCAACTTTTGCTTGGAAGGTCTTTTTTCCATGACATATACACGAAGATTAGCGTCTTTTTCCTTTTTAATAGCTTGATTGTATTGCATGCCCTATGCAAGTTATGTGAGTTTTTCTGTACAGGAGGAATAGTTTAGATAGTGAACCCTAACATTTTAGGATTGCTTCATCGATTTTTTCCTTTGTTTCATACACATTTAACCTTGCTAGAAATCACACGCATCGATTGCTTTATAACATGGTAGTGTGTAAATTTTGGCACCATATTAGAAACTGTGTACCAACTTGATTGAGCAAAATGTGTGGTACTTCTCACATAAAAGGTAATACGAAATTCATGCTTGAACCTCTGAGGCGTTGCTTGTGATGTATCATAGGCCATCTGTATGAAAACCTATGAATTAGGTGACACGAATTTATACTTTCCATGTTTTAATTGGATACCAATTGCTTGGATGCTTTTGAAAGCCTCGAGATGACTTGCTCAAGCACTGTGTGGTCTTCCTTCCCCAACCCCCACAGGCTTCCACTAGATTGATACTGCCAACTTATTGTGGGATGACTGCCACCTTCGTATTTAAGTAAGGTTCAACATTGTCGAATGTTGCATATGATCAACTACATTTTATGGCAAATGACCTACTGAATTTCTGCTATTTCCTTGCTATAGTTTTTGTTGTATTTGTCACATAATCAGTGGTGGATCCAGAATTTTGAGTACGGATCCAGAATTTTGAGTAAGTACGGTCAGCCGTTAACCTTGACCGTCGGTCGTAATAATATATTAAAAATTAAATCTAATAATTATTTTGCTAAAACTAAACATATATAATTTTGGATAAATGTTAACAGGCGACCAAGTTTTATATAATTCAAAAGAAGAGCATACTTTCGAATCTTTGCAATTGCATTAAAACCACTTAAACGGAATATATATTATTTTATTACATTTAGTGGCAAAATTCAACAAGTGCCATGATGTCAAGCTTTCAATTATATGGAAACTACACCCATATCTTTAAAGATCCAATTTCAAAAATCAAATCCAAAGTTTATTTATACAAAAATTAGATATTAATTCAAATCATCATTATATATTTTAATGCTAATAATAATATTAAATATAATTAATCTACCACAACAATGCAAACCTAACAAACCATAATTCATTTTTACAAATCTTATTTTCTTCCCCTCATCCCCTTCTTGATAATGGTGCTGGTGTGGCCGTGGCAGTGGTTGTGATAATTTTGGATTTCATTTTTTGGTGGTGTTTGCATGGTGGTGCCCGATCTGCGCGGTTGTGGTGATGGATCTGGTAGTTGTGGTGCTTCGTGATACAGGTGGTTGATAGCGATGATGCATTGGTTTTAGTTGTTGGAGTGGTGAAGGCTATGATAATTTTGGGTGTGGTGGGATGGTTGGCATGGTGGTTATGATAGTGGTTATGGTAGTAATGGTGAGATGTTGGTGACGATGGGTTTGTCGAGGTGATGGTGGATCTAGCGCGACGTTGTGACAATATTTTTGCGACGTGTTGATTTGTTGAGGTAGTGGTGTTGCTATCGAGATGTGGTGGTGGTGGTAATGGCGACGACGAAGGTGATGGTGCTACTGGAGTTAGTGGTAAAACGGTGGTCGTAAGTGTTGATGGTGGTCACAAATTATTTAGTTGATTTTGATCATTAAATTACTTAATCTGTGACCAATAAACAATATATGACCAATGAACAAGAAAAATTGTGACTAAGAAATAATGTTTGACCTAAAAAATTGTTAATATGTAACTGATAATTTGAGTCTGTATAATAAGTTATGATTTACAATAATTGTGATTTGTAACTGATAAATAAATTGCGAATATTAAATTTTTGATTTGTGATTGATGAATAAATTGTAACCTATAAACTTTTTGAATTGTGACCGTAAAATAATTTGTAACATATAAAAATTTTGATTTGTGATTGAAAAATAATATGTAACTAACTAAATCATTAATTTGTGACAAAATTGTATAGATCTGTTACCTTAATATATTTAATTAATAAAATATATGATTAATGTTTGATTTTTGAATTTTAAAACATTTGTTCCTATTTTGAAATGGATGATACTATACCTTTTAGTTATAATTTTTCCCTTCAATTATCTTAAAGAGGGCTTACAAGTTTGAATCCCTTCCCTATTGAATATTGCACTAGTTTTAGTAAAAATTGTAGAACTAGAAAAATTGCACAATAAATTGATTGTTTGGAAGGAATTCAAACACTAAACACTAGACCTCCAATTTGTACATGGATGCTCTAACTAAATGAATTACAAGAAATGTTTGAAAATAACATGAATTATCATATATATAACATAAACTATTATCTACTGTCAACCAAAAGAAAAAAAAAAGAAATATGTTTCCGGCCGATCCAGCACGCAAGCCCGTCGGTGCTCGACCGGTACAGGATCCGCCACTTCACATAATAATGAAAGCATGATTTCGTGAAATTTCTCATATGATATCAAAGTGTACCAGCAGGATTTGCCCGGGAAGATCTGACCGTGCACGTTTGCGCGTTGTATAATGGTTTTAGTCTCCCTTCCATTTGAATTTCACATGATATCAAAGTGTACCAGCAGGATTTGCCCGGGAAGATCTGACCGTGCATGTTTGCGCGTATGTATAATGGTTTTAAACTTTTAGTCTCCCTTCCATTTGCTGTCCTGCAATTGAGAAAGTGGCACAATAATTTCCTAAGCTACAGCCTACCAGTGAGTTGTGGACTCTGATTTTGGTCCGCTAAGATTGACTTTGAACTGGTCTTAAGTAATATATTTCCAACCAAATAAGTTTGGTGAAAGGAATCTTCGGTTTGTTTACTGGTTCAATCTCATCTCAGTTAATATAGTAAATTGTCATTTGTTTCTGATGTTGCTGTCGATGTAGACATGCACTCAAAACTATTATAAGCAACAAGATTATCAACTAAAGTAATAGATCATGTAACTTTTGATCTACCGGTTCCTTCCAACTTGCTTTGCCTAAATTTTTTGAAACTTGATAAGCTTTAACCGATCAAATGAAGGGAGTTTCCAAGAATCCAAGTTCGTCAGTGCCGTAGAAGCTTGCTCCAAGGATCGTCAAAAATGTGTTTTTCAAGCTCAGTTCAATGTTATCTTTTTCTACCATACAACCAATCCAATCTGCTCCGATCCACAATCAATATATTCATCTCGGTTGTTTCTCAATCTCGCCCACGAAGGACAAGATAACGATGATGATTTGTAATCTCAAAGACAAGAAGAAAAACACCACAAAGGAGGCAAGGAAGAGACCAAAATCCCCAAAGCAATCCACCGGTTTTGGGGACCACAAAGGAGCCAGATTCTCTCTTCAAAGGGGCAGCCAATTTTCTTCATTTTACACACAAAAATCACACATTAAAATGACTAGGGTTTAAACCACATAAATAGGGTTGGGTTAGGCTTTTAATTGGACCAATAACAAAGCTAAACATGTCAAGATTCAAAATCATCCAAAAGGTCATATAATTGGACCGGATAGAGCTTTTGGACTTGGTTGTTGGTACTTATTTCATTCATGAGCCTGGGCCTATGAAATATATATTCACATGTTAACATCATAACCCGAAATTTATTGGGTATCAAAAACCCAACAGTTAGAATGGTTTCGAGGGATAGAGATCATGTAAAACAACATATAGTTCTTGAATTGATATTTTGATAACAATTAAGACTTTCTGGACAGAAATATCTAAGCTTTACGTAAACTTCTTGATTCCATCCTTCTGTACATCTTGTTGACCTCGAAAAATGCATCTCCAGCGTAGCCAGTAGATCCCAAAACCTCTTACGTCCAAATAAACCATATTCGTGCACACTAGAACAAACTGTTAGTCACATCACATGTGGCCTTCTCCGATGGGGGTGGAGCCGGCCGCACGCTCCGACGGTCAAGTCAGTTTTTGGAAAGAAATGTATGAGTGTGGGATGGTTTTTAACGTGAGCATTTTATATAAAAAAAGGGGGTCGATATTGGGAATAAAGTAGAAAATATAGAAAGCAAAGTTATAGTATTAAAATCTGAACTTGCATTCCCCTTGAATGACACTAAGTGTGAGCATTTATAGTGTGAGATAGCGAGTGTAGATCGTCAGATAAGAGGACACGTGGTTATATCCTCTTAAACTTAACTTCCCATCATAGACATCAATCAATAACAGTGTATTAATGCTAATGTCAACTTCCCTTCCATAAGTTGTAGCTTGTAGCAGTTGATTTGACCAAGTAAGTTAACTGTGGCAGCTGTGGCAGGGAGTTGTCACGTTAATCTTGCCTCCTTTCCCTGAGGGATTCGGTTATTCCTGGGTTCGGTTATGGGTTTGGTTATGTAGGGCTAGCGGGTTTGCACACATGGGCTTAATCCATCCACTTCGGTTCAGCTGTTAAGTGGTACCCAAGTAGGGCCTCTTTGCAAGGAACATATAACAACTGTCCTCGAAATCCATGTATAAATATTAATATAATGTGTGAACTCGAAAAGTGAGAGAGAGAAGAACGAAAATGGAACGCGGTATAACTCCTCCCAAAAATGTAACAATAAAATATAAATTACCAATCTTTTAGCAGTTTTGGATAACATTACTATTGCAAAATTTGGGAAAAGAAAGTATTTTTATTTTCACAAATCCAATCCCAAGATCTCGTAGTATTTTTATGTTCACAAATCCAATCCCAAGATCTCGTGCCATTCTGAAGGGAAAGGTGAGGTAAGAAAAAGAAAATATAATATTAGTGGCATATCACTTTGAACGATTCAGTTGTTGGAAAATAAATAATTTAAGTTTAAAATTTTTAAATTAATATCTTTAAATTTTTTTTCCTATTTTAATTTCAATTTTAATACAAAATTAAATTAATAATATTATAGTATAACATACATTTTAAATGATTTAATTATCATAAGTGTGGGGGGTTAAATTTGTCCTTATTAAAGGGAGTAATTTTCATTGAGATAGATACCATGAGGAAACATAACTTTAAAAAAAAATTATATCT